GAGACCAATCTGATTTCCACTGAGAGCGGGTGACTCTCTGATGCGCTTATTGTTTGTTTATAATGAGTCCTGGGGCGTGAGGTCGCTGGTATTTCGGAAAGAGGAGCTACTTCCTTTTCTCAGTTGCCCCACCCTATTGGCCACTGGACCGAGTGTTGGGCGTTGTGACTCACTCTGCGGCCTGACCAAATTACGGCCACGCTTTCAAACCTCCGCTCCTTTGGATGGTCTCGGGGTGTTTGGTGCCCCGCTACAAACAGCTGGGGTCTGATTTTTGAGAGCTACTGAGCACCCACATGAAGGGATGGGCGCTGCAGATACCCAGCAGCTCTGAAAGTGAGGCCCTAGGAGGCTCAGGTTGTGCTCCTGATTAGTGGATACTTGAAAATGTTTAGGCCTTAACTTGTCAGCACCATTTTACAGAGACGAATCTAGTGATACCTGGTCTCTCTTGTTAAAATGCTCTGAGAGCCTTGGATGAAGTGAGCACGGTACGTGCTAGATGTAATCACTTAACTTCCCAAAACCTCGACAGTATTTAACGACTTCAGAGGCTGTGACCATTTAAAATCCTTAGGGTGATTCCTTGTAGGAATCTGCATATTGAATAGGAAACTTCTGCATTTCCCTGCGCTGCGTCTCAGAAGTAATGATGTCATTTCTCTCTCGGGCAGTGACATATGGAAATAGATTCTGTCTTCTCCGAAGAGAAGCTCGGATTTTATGGGCTTTACTCCCACCCACTTCCATGCACGCATTTAATGCACCTTCCTAGTTTTCCGCTAGACTTACTGATATTGACAGACTATCCTGCATCTCATTTGGGGGCCAGTGTTGCTCCTGTTCTAGCCTGGTGGCCTTTGAATAGAGAGAATTCAATCCAAGGGAAAACCGCCATGAATTTGGCCACCAAGTCATTTGACACCTTCTGCTTTAGCAGGATTAGCTTCGGAGACATTGTCAGCATTAATGTTTGTAAAGCCCTTTGCCTTTCCTCCGAGGATCTCAAAGCGCTGTTGCGTCTGGATGTCTGAAACTAGTGCAAACTTGTAGACATATGTGGGATTCTTCTATGTAGTGAATATGAATCAAGGATTTGGTGCCTTTTCCCTGATTGAAAAGCGTCTCTGCAGTCACTCTAACCTCTCCTCCCCCTGCTCTCCTAGGTGTTAATATCCAATCCTGAAGAAAAGAAGCTGATCCTAACTCTGAAGAAAACTCTGGTCATGTCGAAATTTCCAGTCCTCACGAGTTACGAGGCTGCAAAGCCCGGCCTGATTGCTCACGGCTTCATTGTGTGCGCTAGGGAGTTCGGCTGCATTGTGAAGTTCTACAATGACGTTAAAGGTCTGGTTCCCAAGAACGAGCTGAGCTCAGAGCCCATACCTTCCCCAGAGAAAGTCTTCTACAAAGGCCAGGTAACTAATATACACACACCCATTGATAAATGCAACGGAGGCAGTTGTGACATCACACTGACAGATAAGGAAGAGGCCGCAGGCTGGTTGGTTGTGGATGGGAAGTTCATGTGGGAATTGAATGCACCTAGAGAGTTGTAAAGGGATATTGGCAAGGCCGGCACACCTCAAATGAGATCTGCCTGGAGCTGTGGTTTGCAGTGCAGGAGGTGTTGGGCCCTCTGCTGTGCTAGGGTTAGACAGGCTATCGAAAAGTCTAGCCTGCTACAAGGAATCACCGACATGCCATTGGCTTTGAGTCCCTGAAGTGGGCGAATCCTTGACAGTCGCGTGACACTGTCACGCCACTGCATAGTTGTCAGGACAATCGGATAACAGGAGGAAGGGGCTCCTGAGGGGAGACGAGGCCACTGGTTCTAAGATACAGTCCCAATCCCCTGCCCTGTTGCATCCCCTTAACTCTTAGGAGCTGGATGTCCATAAAGTGTGAAAAGAAGAACAGGAGGACTTGTGGCACCTTAGAGACTAACAAATTTATTAGAGCATAAGCTTTCGTGGACTACAGCCCACTTCTTC